TTTAACCAACTATTATATATATAAATTATATTTTATTCGATTATGTAAATATAAGATGTAGTTTGTAAATATAGTGTAGTTTTCATGTTAAATTCGGTCAATAATGCTAGTGAAAATAAACAACTGTATTTTTAATAAATTTTTAACATCTAAAATTATTCAAATATTTGATATTTGAAATGCGAATAATATATATATATATATATGTATATATAGAGAGAAATATGTATTGATACACATATCATGATTAAAAAATCTTTTCAATTGTTATTTTAATTCAAATTTTTGTTAAAAATTGATCTACAAATTTTCAAAAGAAAACATATTCTATAATATTCTATAATAATATAAATTATTAAAAAATAAAATAAAATATGTAAAAAAAATAAGAATCATTAATCCACATTGCAAATATTAAGCACAGGTATTGACATGACGCGGTATTGACTTATTAGAAGTTTGCACCAACAAGGATCGGCGAGAGCATGATCTCGTGTTGCTCGCTTTGATAGGCTCTTGTATGCAATTACTCTGGTTGGCTCCCAAAATGCTTCCTTAAGTGTGCATATCAGGAACAACTCGTCTTCCCTTCTTCCAATCTTCTTGTTACTCTTTTTCCACGCAAAGTGAAAGCACACGCCCTTTTCGCGGAATTTTTATCTATGTGATGTTAATGAGATGCCGATATTTTTTATAATTTTTTCTTTTTATTAGAAGTATTTATACTATTTCAATCATATAATAATTTTTCGATTAGGTTTGAAAATCTTTATCATAATGATAATAAAATAATTTGACTATATTTCCTTTTATTTGTAGATACAATTCATTATAATTCAGTTTTTTTTTATTCTGTTCTACTTCTACCATGCTTCATTTTCAATTTTTCCACAATTCAATTTTTCTATTTCATCACTCAAACACAAATAGAATATAATAATTTTCAAAATTAATAAAAATTTGAAGCGTTATATAATACAACTATTTAATTATATATTAATTTCTTTTACAATTTGATTATTCTCAAAACAATCTGAAACTAACGTACTAAAAAATGATGGTGCATTATATTTTTTTATCTTGTTAAAATATGATTTGTCAACGATAATAATAGTCATTTAATTTCCATAACTATCAACTAGCAAGTGCAGATAAAAATCAAGAATCACGCTTGAGGCGGTTAAAAACCTGCGATGAAATTCCTATTAGGTGATTTTTAAAAATTACTATTTATTATAGAAAATTAGAATTAAAATTATAATTAATTTATACATTATTAATATAAACACTATTAATATAATTCATCGTTCATACGAAAAGATTTATTATATTTGCACATGGTGACAATAAAAATAATTTGATGGTCGAGATATTTGCGAATTGCTAAGGAAGCAACAGAAAATTCGTGTTCCATGAAGCTACACGTGGGTGTAAACAAAAGTATGATTCTGCTTGGGGCACGGAATGTGCTGGACGCTGCGCTGTGTCCTATACACCGGCTATGCCGCATGGCAGATTAAGCGTATACGTACTTACATACGGCGTGGCATGGTATACAGCCGTCCGCTTCGCGGCCGCCGCATTCCAACGGCTGCCCAAACCAAAACCTATATCGCGTATACCTATCTCACTCTTGCCTTCTCCTTTCAACCATGTGTTTGCTCTTTTTCCCCCCTTATCCCCTCCACTTGTTCCTTTTCACCCCTACCACAGCACCTTTTATTCGACCCTCTTCGCAGGAGAAAACGTGGCTGCACATTGTCTCCCTTCTCTGTCTCTCTGTCTCTTTCTGCCATGCTGTTTCTATTTGTCTTTGTTTCTTCTTATTATATTAATATTATTTTTAATTAGTATCGACTGTTACTAATTATTAGCCAAAATCTTAAGATTTAAAGTGGATTTCGAATCTACCGCCAATAATAATACACAGTGTTTCCAAGCGACACTTATTCTATATAAGTATTAACTGTGCCCGATATACTTTTTAACTTTAATGATCAAACGGGATTTTACGTGGCAAGGTCATTGGCGTTTCTCTTTGATATCACATTTGTCATGATTTTGCAATGAATTTTTTGATCGATTCGATCGATCATATGTTATTTGTGTTTAATTGGTGATCGAACAAATCACAACAATCGGTTTCCTTGTTTGTAGAATATTGCGAAATCTGAATAATTAATAAGGACGAAAGTCTATTTGTCATTATTGTTTTATACGTTTCTTCATTATCCGTTATCCATATCCTCCATCTAATCGATTCAGCAATAAGATACATATAGATTTTCCATACATTTCTCCAACATATATTACGAGAATAACATCTTAATAACCATTTATAATAATTTTTTCCTGATTTTTGCACGAGATTATTGAAATTTTACAATTAGATTAACATTCAACAATTAGAAAACACATGTATAAGAATTGACAAATTTATAGATATAGTTCAACACAATGATCAATGATTTAATAAGTTAAAGTATTTGTATAATACTAATCAGTTTACGATAGAATTGTGTATAAAATCATTGATAAAAATTTGAAAAAACATGATTTGAAATTATGCATTATATATATATATATAATTAATTGTAAATATATGCAAATATAAATAAGTGAATGAATTATGTACATATTTTCAAAAAAACATAATTAATACATAATTTATACATATAATTTTGATAAAACAATTTCTTTTTCGATTATCTATTAGATATCAGATGAGAAAGTTAAATCTTGGACCCGTATGAGTGCCTTCGTATACGTCACTGAACAGGCGAAAGTCTGAGAAGAAGGATCATGATCTATCAGACGAGTGTGCAACCTACGCGATAACCGGTTAGCTGTAAATCTTTTCAGAAGTCCAAATCATTCTTTCACAAAGATTTATATGATACCTTATGATTTTTGAACAAATCAGAATCGATGAATACTTGACTTTGAGCGAAGAAATAATATTAAACGGACGGACGAGTTCGATTTTCATGAGAATGTTTCATGTATTTGAGAAAAATTTAATTTTCGGAAAAACCGGTTTCAAGCAGTTATTAGATATTAGAATGCACAAACTTTATTATATATGTAATATTACTTTTTGATAGTGAATAGTTTTTTAATATTTTATTTTAATTATAAAAATATTATTAAAGTTATTGAAATATTAAAATAATTTTATTTTATATAATTTATATTATTGAATAAAATTATAAATTTATAACGAATATGAAATATAATTTATAAAATTTAATTATTAAAATAATACCGAATCAATTTTTATTTTTATATTTTTTAATATAATTAATAATTTATAAAATCGCTTTTTAAGTAAAATATATGTATTTTAAAAATCTTACCGAATTTTATTTAACGTATTGGTAGAGATGAACATATGTATTTATTCGGGACATGATGGCACTCAAGGAACACTGGATAAAATTATGAACAAAAATTCACTTTTGCTCAATGTTCACGTTGTACACGAACATTTTTTGTTTTTACTATTCTATCAAAATATATATCACGTCGCAAAAGCACATATAACTGTATGTACATTTCGATGTTCTGTAAAACTATAAACACATAAGAACTTTTTAAACTGTACCATGTAGCAATGATATTGGTATAAATGCATGATGTGAAAATAACAATAGTCAAGGGCTACAGAAATAAAACAAATTCACCTTGTTTCTTTTAAATCGTCACTAATATGATATATTCTATTTTTTTAATAAGACGACATATCCGCACATGCATCCGATCAAGTCGCCGCTTTTCGACAGCTGTCAATTACGAACAACACAGGCGCCGCGTTTGTACAGCATCCCAGCAAAACCACTTTCGGTCCAGACTATACAGAAATCTCTTGTACAAGGAATAAACGTGGAAGACGATATTTCTGCCATCTATCGATTATTGTGAGAATCAGCGTTTCGTGATAAGTATGATGGGATTGACAGTTGTTTGAAAAACAAGATGTTTTAAATTTTAATTAAAATTTTAATTTAAATTAAACTTTAAATATACCATTTATTTGACATAATATAAAAATAGTGATTTAAAATTTTTATACACATTAATATTGAATAATTATATTCTTTTAATTATTTTAAAAACAATTCATTATATTTCAAATAATATAAAAAATATTTAAAATATTCATGAACTTATAATATATATAATATTAATAATATAATTTAATTTCATTTTTTGTAAAAAAAACTTAAAACTTAAAATTTTATATATATTTTAATTAAAGAATATAATTTTTCATAATTATAAAAAAATTATTTTTAACATTAATATATATTATAAGATATATATCTTATAAGATAGAATATCAATATCTCAAGAATTAAGCCTTGATTATAATAATATTTGTAATAAGAAGCATTTAAAAATTGATTACTTTATCTTAAATACATAATTCTTAACAGTACTTGAATATGCATATATGTATATATAGCTACGAATTCAACACATACATAACTATTGTTTCTGATTTATTGCTAGTATTTTAAAAAGAAAAGGTATAATATACGTCATTAGCTAAGTATTATATAATCTCGAAAATTCAACGAAGAAGTATGTCTTTATAAAGCACAATTTTTAAAATTATAAAGTTTAATCAAAATTGTAAATATGGATAAATATATATATCTATTTATAAAATTTTTTTTAAAAAATAACGGTTAAAACTTGAAACTTTCAAAACTCTTAACAAGAACAACTCTTAAATTATCATTCATTATATATTTATTATTTAAATATAAAGTTATATATTTATAATATATTATAAATTTAAATATAAAATTTTATGTATATTAAATTATGTTGAAATTTACTAATGATATATGTACAAAATATTCGTGCAATATTAAAAAAAAAATAAAGAAATAAAGAAATATTTAGATAAAGATTATTTAATAATCAAATCATAAAAATATCTTGAATATGGCTATTTGTGTTACTTGATATATCGAAGATACATAAAGAACAGAAACAACTTCATGTGAGTTCGACTAACGATAACGATACAAGTCAGCAAGTGATCTGAAGCAAACTGCATCCGTGGACAGTTAAAGGGGTGTGCGCCCCGGTTACTTAGATACAATTGTGATTCTTATATTTGACAATAAACTTTAATTTATACTATATGAATTGGAAATAATACGTGATCGATATGGGTGAGTTGTGTGATAATTCATGAAGGTACATGTTTCCGAAATCACACTGAATCTATCCAATGAATATAAATCTGATCGGTGGACGATTCATCTAGTTTTTTCGGGATATATTTGTATGTAATTTCGACTCTTTTGTCTTTCTAGGAGGATTACTCAGTTATTTTCGTAATTTACTCGGCAGCCGGGAAATGCGAATTTTAATTTTAGGCTTGGACGGAGCCGGAAAAACTACAATCTTGTACAGGTGTATTTCACATTGACAATTTTCTATATTCCGCTTGACAGTTTATGTTTTAATATATATGTTTTAATATGTTTAAAGTTTGATATGACATTATAATTAATTATTTATTCGCCTTTATTTTCATGAATGGTTCATATATTTGAATGTTTATAACCAATAATTAAATATATGTTTATGTGGCATAACAATTTAAAGCTATTAAATGTAAAATAACATGCATGTGAAATTGTTTTCAATATTATATTTACTAGATTGCAGGTTGGTGAAGTGGTTACAACAATACCTACTATAGGATTTAATGTAGAACAGGTCACATATAAAAATTTAAAATTTCAAGTATGGGATCTAGGAGGTCAAACTAGTATAAGGTATGTAATGATAGATATAAATTAAAAATATTTTTTATTTATTATATTTTTATTTTATTTAGTTTTACTCTAATTAGCTATTTTAATCTAATCTTTAAAAATGTAATATAAGATATAATAAATGTATAATTATATTTTAAATTTATAGACCATATTGGAGGTGTTATTATTCAAATACAGATGCAATAATTTATGTTGTGGATTCGGCAGATAAAGATAGGATAGGCATATCAAAAGATGAATTAATTTATATGTTAAGAGTAAGTATTATGTTGCTAACATAGAAAACTATCAATAATTTTAAGTATTTTGTCTGTAATTAGATTTTATTAAATAATAATGTATGAACAATTTGATATGAAAGTGATATTAACAGCTGAATATGAAGTGTTCTTAACATACAAAATATAATTTATAATTTTTTAATTTTAAAATTATAGGATGTTCTTATATTATTAATAATATATAAATGTATATATAATATTTGTATATATTCAGGAAGAAGAATTGCAAGGTGCCATTTTAGTGGTCTTGGCAAATAAACAAGATATGGCAGGATGTTTAAGTGTAGCAGAAGTTCATCAGGCTCTTGGATTAGATGCTCTTAAAAATAGAACGTTCCAAATCTTCAAAACATCTGCAACAAAAGGTGAAGGTCTTGATCAAGCAATGGACTGGTTATCAAATGCACTACAAAGTAGAAAATGATTAATATTATTAAGAAATTTTTTTACCTAAGCCTTATTAAAAAGACTAGTCATATGACTAGTCAAATTGAACAAGCCACGCAAAGCTGGACACTTTATTCCGTTTATTTATTATAATTATATTTTAAATAGTCTTATTTAATCGAATTTCATCGAAAAACGATATTTATAATTTTCATAATGTGAAGCAGGGAATAAAAATAAAAACAAAAATTTTATCTTTCTATAGAAGTTTAAATGAAATAAACAAAAATTTATTCAATTTAAATATTTTTTTCATGTCATTTTATATCATTGCTGTATTCTTTCTATGTAATTTTTATTATTTCTTAATATTACAGCATCTTCAGATTTTTATTATCATATAAACAATATAAACTTCATCGATCCTTTTATTAAATTTTTTAAAAAATTATAAATTTAATATTATATTGGCAAACAATAAGTGTAAAAAAAAAGTGTAATGTATATTAATATAAATATATTACTTTTTATTATTAATCAAAGAGATTATTTATAAATATTGCAGTAAAATTGGAAATCGTTTGAAGTGTCAACATTTTGACATACTGTGTGAATAGTTATGTAAATATATGTAATTGGTTTAATTTCATTCATATAATGTTAAGGTACATATGTAAAATGTTCTTTTTTATACAAAAGAAAAACCTAACATAGAAAACAAAAAAGATTTTGTGAAAAATTGAAGCACAATATCTTGAATGATATTTATAAATTTGTTAAGTATAATAGTACTGCCATATAAAAACAAATTTAGTATTTCAATCATATTTAATATTTGACAAAATTAAAAAATATATTTCATTATTTTTATTTAATATTGAATTATTTAGTTTTAATACCAAATATTAAATTCTAATTAAAGTATTAATTATTCAAATAAACTTCTTGAGCAATGTTATATAATTAAGATTTGATAACTAATTTATGTATTTAAAATCTATATAAATACTATTTCATAATAAATATTTCGCAATTATTAATTGCATTTTAATTATTCATTCTAATTAATAAAATTGATTGATCTAATTAATAAGATTATATAATTTTTGAATTTTTAAAATGTATCTATATATATAAAAAAAAATTTCAATTTATATATAATCAAAAATATATGTTATATTAAATTATATTATTATAAGAATTTATCCATTTTTTTATGTATAATTTGTAAAAAAAAAATTTACAAAAAAAGATTAAATATTTTATATTAATAATGCAATATTTGTGTTTTATCCTAGTTTTTTTATTTTCAGCATTGATATTGTTCTTATTTTGATTAATATATATATTTATTTTAAAGTTATCTTTTTTGTATTGAATCAACAACACATAAACATACCTGTTTACTGATCTATTGATATTACCATGATGGAATTCCAAATCTTTCAATTCGTTTCATTTGTGTATCTAGTTCCAATTGAACTTTCTTTCTCATATAGAATATTGGACAATCACGACTGAAAAGATATAATATTAAATTTAATATCATTATATCCTAATTTAATAAAAATGTATGATATTTTTCAATTGTTTAAAGAGTGCACCTTGTGCATAATACTTCTTGATGAAGACTTCCCTGACATCTTTGACATTCTGTCCATAATCTACAAAACTTTTCTTCTAATTTTCTACCAAGATACAATTCATTTTGATATAATTCTGCTTCTTTTGGTTCACAATATTTACATAATGCCATTTTCTCTCTTTCCGGTACAAGAACGGCTTTGCAGCCTAAGCATACTTCCTTTTTACGTGTAAATGCAGACAAAGCACCAACTTTTGATGTAGCAACAGATTTTGTGCGTGTATGATCTCCTTTCAATAAAAGTGATTCAGCTTTTTCACCAAGAATTGGTTCAAAAATACGTACTAGTGGTTTAGCTAATTGATTTTCTAAATAATAATTTGTATCTATAGGAATGTTATTTTCTAAGACATAAATTGGATCTTCTGCTTTTTGATAAGCTGGTGTGCCTTTGGCTGCTCGTATAAAAACATATGGTACTCTATCACCAAGTTTTGGTGCATTTCCAGCATCTCGTTTTTTCATTTTTGCTGCTAATTCAACATGTGCTTGTTTAGCTGCATAATCAGTTTTAGTTAATTCTTTTGTAATTACTAACTGAGAAATATCTATACGATTACATAAAAGGTCACTTATAATTTGTTTTGCATAATTCATGGCATCATTGGGATTTCTACAAAAAAAAAAAAGCATAAATATAACAGATTGAATACTCTTATTTTATTATATAAATATGTTATTACCTGTCAATAAGTAATTTTTGTAAACAAGTATTCATCATATTAGCTACTAATGGACAATTATCTCTTCGTACAGTTTCTAGACCTTTGCAATCCATTTTATCATATTTATCTGGACGAGTAAAATATAGACCAGCGTATCGTTTTTTATTAATTAATAAATACGGAAAATATACTTTTTCAAATTCCAGTTTTATTGGTTTTAAAAATTTTGAGGATACATATTCCGCTGCTTCTCTGCCAAGTTCCATAGCTTCTTCCACTGTTTTCACACCAAATTTAATCATAACAGAATCAGTATCACCATATACGACCACTGCATTATTTTTATATCCTTTGGAAATGCAGTATTGTTCTTCTACTTCCTGTTTTGTTCGTTCTATCATAGTACGTCCATATGCAGTGACACTCTAAAAATTAATATTTTTTATTATATGTATAAAATAGTGTAATTTATTAAAAAGTTTAAATATTAAAATCCTACTGCAGATATTTCCAAACATGGCAGTTTTCCCATTTGTGCTCCGGTAAAACCATACACAGAATTAGCAGATACTTTTAAAGCATATTGTCTACCATCTAAAACTTTTTGTTTCAATGGATCAGTTTCTTTTTTCAGTTCAGCTTTTGCCGCTTTTCTAGCTGATAAAAGATTTTCTAAAATTTCTGGAAGGATTCCTTTTCTGATGTTAGCTTTGATAAATTTTGAATCATTAGGAGTTATAGTAATATTATCTGATTGAATATTGTTTTTAGTCTGTTTATCGTATTTTAACAATGTTGTGTAACATAAGTTGTGGGCCATAATAATACTAGGATATAAAGAGCTAAAATCTAAAGTTGCAATAGGATCATTATAATATCCACGTTTTGGTTCTATAACTGTTGCTCCTTCAAATTGTTCATCACTAGCTTGACCTCGATGCACTGGCATTAAATAATCTTTTTCTCGAGTCTGAAATTAAATATTTTTAGTAGAATTTTAATTGGAATTACAATTAACTAGTTTATTATTGTTATTAACCTTTCTCAATAATTGTGAAACAACTTTAATTTGTTGACCTCGTGTTAATAAACTAGATATGGAAACTCCAGTAACTCTTGCCATTTCCATATAAATGAAAATACACATTAACTTATCCAATAATCTAAGTGGTAAATATGCATCTTTCAAACAATAAACAGCAAGTCTTCGACGTGTTTGTGCATTACCATTTTGTAAATCTGTGATAATACTATGATGAACATCTTCTTTTTGTTCTTGTAAAAAATGATAAGAGACAGCATTTAAAGTATAAGATCTTAATTTATAATCTCTAACCAATACCTAAAAACATAAATGTAAATATTTATTGTTATACAAGTTTATAATTAATAATTCTAAGAATATTGATTTTACCAGTAATAAATCAAATGGAACTCTTCCTTCAAAATTAATAGATTTATTTTCACGACGACCCATTTGTTTGCTTTGAAGTACTTGAGTTTTAATTACAGATTTTATATTTTTTATTCGACCAAGGAAATAAAAATCTCTTACATTAAGATGACTTGCTCGATTAATTAGGTAAGGAAAATCAAAATTATTTATGTTATATCCAGTAAAAATATCAGGATCTAATTGTCTCACAAAATCGGCCCATTTCTAAAAAAATAAAATATAATATGTATTGGTTGATTTTCCAATATGATTAATGCAAAGTTAAATTTAAAATAAGTCATACTTCTAACATTTTATGTTCTGTCTCAAAACTTAAAACTTGACAACCAACAATTGGTGCACAAGTGTCAAGAGTGAAAATATTTCGTAAAAATGGTTCTGATTCTCCTTGCTTTATTACCATATTAGCAATTTGTATCACTGGATCATGATTTGGTTCAGGAAATATACCTATATTTATATTAAAAAAATTAAATGAATTTATGTATCATATAAAGAGAAACATTTGTTTAATCAAAAAAATGAATTTTTACCTTTGCGTCCTGCACACTCAATATCAAAACTAAGAATTCTAAATGGAGCAATTTTTGACCATTCTCCTTGTGGAGCATGTGCAATAAAAGTATCCCATGCAACATCAACTTCTAACTGACATCTTGCAGTTAATGGTAAATTGTGTCCAAAATGTTGTCGAAGCTTCCAAGTTTTAGGTGGTAATTCAATCCATGAACATCCAACTACTGATGTATCAACCATAAATCTTAAATAAATAATTATTTATTTAAAAAAAAATAAAAATTAAAAAGTGAAAGATATAATTCAAATGCACACCTAATATCAAAATCAATATTGCTTTCAAAAGCAGTATATTGATGCCTAAATTCAGATAAAATACTTTCTTCTTCAACTATTTTCTTACAACGTGATATTAATCTTGGAAGTGCTAATGTAATTTTTAAAAACAATGATTTTTCATCTCCTGTATATCCATACATGTTTTGCTTAAATACTCGTTCAACAGCTAATACAGCTACTTGAATGTTTTCTGGATTGGATCTCATATCTTTCAATATTGCTTTATCTAAAGCCTCCTAAATAAATAAATAAATAGGTTGCAATAAAATAATTTGTGATATTTGTTTAAAACACACTGATACATATTGATTTTTAAAATAGATAAGATAGATAGATACCTTAAATAATCTACAATGGTGATCATTAAAATTTGTTGGTGCTATAACATATAAATAAGGACTAAAACCATGAACATGACAACAAACTGAATTTCCTAATTCTGTAACACCAAACATTCTCATTATTGGTACAGGAGGTATATTACTACCTGGCATTCCAGGCAATGGTATACCTTGAAAAAAATTTATTTATTATATTATTTTTAAGAGCTAGAATAGAATAGATTTTGTTGATATTTATAGTATTATTTACCACTATAATGATCAATTTCTATTTGTTGAAAAATCAATGCATCTTTCTGTGGATTTAATTCTGGAGGTGAAGGCCTATTCCATTTTGAAGATGTATTTTCTTGTTCAGGACCCTAATGAAAATTTATTAAAAATGAGTAATTATTCAAAAAGATATGCTATATAATATATAATATACATAATAAAACAAAGATATACTATATAATATATAATATAGGACATGATAAAACAATAAAAAAATATGCGTACAATTAATAAAAAAAGCATTTAAAAGCGAATTAAAAATAAGTCAATGAATGAAACATAACATTAAATGCATGATAATTAAATTTAATTATTTATGAATATAACATATTAAGTTGCATTAAAATAAATAAATCATTGCAAAAAAATAAATCATAATGTATATAAAAATATATAATAAGAATAACTGGAAATTAATATATTAATTTAGTAATATATTTATGCAATAATATGCTTAGTAAGTGTTTTTATTTTAACAAACATACTTTTGTTACACTCATTAACTCACTGCTTTTGATGTTTTATTTAATTGCACAGGAATTGGCTAAAATAATAATAAAATATTAATAATATAAAATTAAAATATAAAATTACCTTATATATAAAATTATTGATACAAACTTTTGTCAAAAAAGAAATTCATATATTATAATTTTTATTTAATAAACATAATTGATATAATATTTATATACCTCTTCAATAACTTGAGACATTGTATTTCCAAATTCATCTTCCATTTCATCCATAGTAGCCAATTCTGCTTCAAATGAACCAGGATATTCATCGTCATCTTCATCTCTATTACTAAATAAAAAATATATTAAATAAAGTATATTAAATAAGTTTAATAACAATAATAAGTAATAATAAAAATATATAAATGAAATAAAAAATATAACAACAATAAAGATAACATACATGTAGAATTGAAAGATATAATATGAAAGATATAATATTAATTCTTTTTATTTTATTTTATCAATTATTTGTGGCATATACATTAATTATATATAAAAAATAATATGTAAATTAAATTTTTCTCAATATAACTTTTTTTTAATAATTTAATAAGAGAAATGTAAATGTACAATAATAAAATAAGGTTAAAACAAATTTGTTAGCAAATATTGTAAATATTTACCGATATTTTGCCTTTTTTGCATTGGAAGATGCTGAAAATTGTCTCTTATTCATCTTATTTTATTATATTTAAAATGACATTAATTAAATAACGAATATTTTGCTTATAAATGTTGAGAGTATATAGAAATGGCGCGAAAATATTTCAATATCTATAGTTACTTTCATTACAATTAAAATTACATAACAAGTTGTTAATATTGGAAAATAAATAGCTTTCATATTTTTAATAAATTATTAAAGATATAATTTTTATTTAAATTTATTTGAATTAAATGTTAAAAAAAAGTTATTAATTGTTTTTAATTTAAAAAATAAAAATATATATAAATATTTAGTGAAAAAATTACATATTCAAATAAAAAAAAAATCACTAGTAAAAAATTTTTAATATTCTAGTAAAAATAATCGAAATAAATAAATAAAATTGCACATAATAAAATTTGTATGTAAATATTAAAAAGAATATCTATAAAATAAGTTATTTTATTATACCATAAAATAAATAGCAATATAAATGTAATAATGTAATTTGATTAAGTATAAAACTTAGCTTATTGATAATATATTAAAATGTAATTTTAATTTAATATTCAAATAACAAATTAAAATAACAAATTGTTATCATTTCTTAGTAATTTTTATTCACTTATTTTAACTACATTTTGATTATACCGTACCAATGAATTGGAATAAATTTTTTTCCCGTACATCAGATCAGAGAAATAATGAAAATGAGAATGAAACGGAAACGGATGATGATAAGGACATCACTGATAGCAATGTAACTGGATCTACCGATAAATATTCACATTTTCTAGGAACGCATTTTGAAAAATTTTCGCATAGTGGCTTATTGCAACGATTTATTCAAGTGACTTTTTTGATAATTAATATTGTAACATTTGTAAGTAAATAGTATATAAATAATTATTATAATATAATCAGTAGTAAATTTTTAATATATTAAAAAATGAATTTGTATTAAATTTTTTTTATTTAATTTGTGATTTGCGTAAATATAATTTTAAAAAATCGTTTATTACAATAATTTTAATTTATTTAATATTTTTTAGAATTTTTTAGAATAGAAATGATTATGTAAAAGTATTCTTGTAAGAATATTTTTATATTGATTTTTATATATTTATTTAAATAGTTTTTACATAACTTTATGTAAATTAATTAAAGCTTGCAGGCATTGTTGGCATTGTAACCTCTACATGGATTTTCACAGATAGTAGGATAATGTTAAGATTGATAGATCAACACTTTTTTATTACAATATTATTATTTATAAGTTTAATTGCCTCATTAGTGTCATTATTGGGAATTCTTGGTTTACTTCGAAGAAGAAGAAAATTCTTGAACATTGTAGGTTTTGATAATAAATTAATAATTACAAGCTTGTTATATGTTCTTTCCTTCCGATACAATATTAAATCTTATTCAATTAAAAAAAGACACTTAAAAAGCTATTTTATTACAGTATGGTATTTGTTATTCGATATTTCTATGCATTATATTTATCAGCGCTATAATGAGTTTTTGGATTTTCGAAAAAATTACAAAAAGAATTCAGGACGACATGAGCGCCGCCATAGAAAACTATCATTCTTCATCCTTGAGTAGAGAAGCTTGGGACAATACCCACAGATATGTAAGACCAGTTTCTTGTACTTACCTCAAGATGTCTCTGAAAGATTTTAACTGGACTTCCTTGTTTTAAAAATTAGTCCTTAAAAAAATTATATTTTAGTTAAAGTGTTGTGGAATAAAATCCGCAAAGGACTGGACCAAGTATCGTGTTGATATTCCGAAGAGTTGTTGTCTCGGATCTATCGAAGAAGTAAATTTTTTTTGTTTGTAAATAGTTTCTTGAATACATACATTAGTATTGATTTTCATATGAAATACCTGATATGAATATGACCCGTAATGTATATAATTGATTTTAAAATTGAAAGATATCGAGAAAATATTTAATCAAATAAATTTTTTAATATTGTGCTAATAATATAGATCTTCTTCCCATATTTGCAAATCAATAATGCAATATATGAGTTATCACGCTTAATTATTAAAGGTCGTAAAAAATAGTCAGATAAACTTCAAACTATCTTGTATTATCATTATTGACAATAATTATTGAAAATTTTTTTGTTTTTCCACAAACTAATATAAATTATATATTTTTGAATTATATAAATTGACTTTACATACCCTTGAATTATTGTAGAATGTCTCTTAATATGTTTTAACATAAAATATCATGTATCAGGCATGAAACATTTCTAATAATTATATTAATCTTTTCGTATTAAACTATGAATTACGAATTTTGCGTAATATTTATCCACATGTCCAAATTTTTATGGCAATATATTATTTATTGTTTGATTAGAATTATTTGTTTAAAACAAAATCTGATATTTTTACTTCTTTTTCTCTTATTAAATTTACAAAAAAAAAAATTGTTTATAGTGTTTACAAATGACGGAAGCGGTATCTTATAAATCAGGATGCTTGAAAAACGCTGTGTTATTACTCAAGTCTCATATGCACACGATTAGTATGTCCGTGCTGTTGATTTTTATAACTACAGTGAGTCGAACGATTCCTCATTGAGAACATAGACAGTTCAAAAACATTCAATTGACTTTTCATTTCAGTTAATGAGTTTTCTTCTCGCACTCTGTGTACTTGCTAAAATGAAGAGAGAAGACTGAAGTTCCAAATCAAAAACATCAGAACATACGCAAAACGATATTTTATTCGGAATGAGACGAAGGTGAACGAGGATCAATGACTGTAGATGAGAGAATAACAAACTATAAAACGTTTTCCCGCTTTTATTATCATATATAGATCATATATTTTCTGAAAACACTTAATATATTGTACTTATGATAGTAATATTGTAATTGTTACTGGACATGCTGGTTGGGTTTTCGCGACACACGTGTACGACAGCGGAATTTGTTTCGAAAAAAATTTTCTTTCTTGTCTCTCTCTAATAAATGGAACCATCGATCGATGGATGGCAGTTCGAGATGGCAGTCGTTGAGAATTTTTTTTTCATCGCGCGATACAGATGAATAAAATACGTTTATAAAAATTGTCTGACCATCGTTCGCTTTCATCCTCGAAAATGGGCTTTTGTATTGCACGCCGAATTTATCGAAATTCACGAAATTGATCGTAATATTAATAACAGTAGGCAAAGTTATAACGAGAATAATCTCGCCGTTATATTATGCGACGCGAAATATTGACATCGTAATAATTCGTCGAACGCGATACAGAGTATATCTTTTGTCTTTATCTCTCCCATCGTCACTGGGCTACGCGAGCAGCACCTGTGCTTTGCACCTCTTATTTTTTTTTTATCCCACGAATTATCTCTTATCATAATCATGTACAGTAATCCCTGGATAAGTGTCCACTTTTCTTCACAGAAATTATATTCTTTATCTTTTTTGTTAATTAGAATAAATTGCAAAAAATAATAATTTAATATGTTACTTCCCAGATTATCGACGACTCATCATCAAATCTAAATTCTTCAGCTTAATATTTATTTCATTGGACTAAGACCAATGAAATGAAAAAAATTGAAGTGTCAAGAATTCAGTATCATCATTGTTTCTCTTATAAGTAGGTATTTCAATATAATATTTAAATTTATATAATTAAAATAAACTCTATCCTATATTACTCGCATAATTAAGTAATTATTTATTTCATGTTATTTGAAATTTCTTATTTGAAATTCATAATTTTTTTTATATAAACTTTGGAATAAATTTTAATAAATTAATACAGATTCCATTCCTCAATTGAATTCGATTGACGGACGTGTTAACCAGGTGTCACTGTATACATTATACATATAATACCTACTTACATACTTCTGTATCCGCATACGTGTTACGTGTACATGTGTTGAGACACACGCACCAGTCTGATGTGTTTGGGTATGTGTGTGTACGTGTATAGAGAGACATTGATCGGAGGACAGGGCTGTGGGCGCAGTTTCCAGGCAAGTTCCATCCAATTACAGATATATTATATCATAGCAAACATCGTGACTATTTACAATAAATACAGTCGATTAGATTATATAAATAAAATATATCGTATCATTAGTTTAGGTTTACAGCAACACGTGACAGTAAACAATTAGATCAGCGGCGAAGTAGCATAATCTACTTAGGGTAGTGGTCGTAGTAGCTGTAGCATGACTGACTGCGCATTCATTCTCCATCTTTCTCGCATACGTTTCTTTCACGCATACATTCTTTCCAATTTTTCTTTTCATTCTTCTCTCTCTCTCTCTCTCTCTCCTCCCCTCTCTCGATAGATCATTTCATATACTCAAATTTCTGTACTCTTCCTGATCTCAACTTCGTCATTTTTAGTATAATCCAAAGACGAAGTTCGTTTTGTGAGAATCGAGTACACCTCACGTGGTCCGACGGATTCAGCTAGCTCGGCCATAACTATTTAATAAAGACATTTTGCGATCATTTCCCATACAATCTGTGTCTTTGCACCGTAATGATAATTAATGCGATAATAATAGTAATGATGACCATCATATTTCGTTCGAGCTTTTTCTTACCCCGTTAATTCCAGAAGTATTATATTATATATATATATATATATATATTTTTATATGTATATTTATATATTTATATTTATACTCGTATTTATAAATATGCTCGCGCGTTAACTCCGCAGTCGAAAACTTCGGAGTACATATTCATTTATCTTTTTCTTTTTTTTTTTTTTTCTTCTTATAGAAAGTTTTTAGTGAAACGAGACGAAACTTCACGGAAGTTAAGAGAGCGAATCTGTTCACTTGTTTTGTCTTTTTTTTTTCCATTTCATTCCATATTCTTTTTTTTCTTTTTACTTTTTTTTGATACTAATCAGATACTCGAACAGTTTAATTGAGTTCTCGCGACCCTGCACGTTGAATCCGCCTTTTGAAACATCGATCAACTTGCGTCGATCTGATCCGTTTTAATAATTTGACACTCGATATTTCTTCTACTTCTTCAGTCATTTTTGAAAAATAGTTAATTTTTTGAACGCCATTGCCGATTCAACGATTATACACAGTATATATATATATATAGATTATACGAATGAATTGGGGCTCAAGGGTGGAGGGAATCGGAAGGTAGGGGTAAGGATCAAGTGTGGAATTTTTAAAAGTCCACAAAATAGAAGCTGTAATTCGATCACCAATTATCTCAGGGTCCATCGCGCGAATATAATCGGTCCTTCCGCCATACAGAAGAAAATTGGCGGAAGGATAAAGAACGATAATTATAGGTTATGTACAAGTGTCGAACGCGCAAAAATGTTTGTTTGTTTTTTTTTAATATATTTAAAAAATTGCACGTACAGAAAAAAAAGGGAATCGAAAGAAGATATTCAATTTTAATCTCATTAGAGACATGAGAGCTCGTTTGGACCACAGAGTTTGAAGAATTTTTGGTGTTCAATGCAGCTCTAAACACTTGCTCGAGTTAAAAATACGTTACGAAGCTTTCCTATATAATCTCTTTTTTCTTTCTTTTCTTTCTCTTTGTTTTATATATTTATATATTTTGTATTTTTTTTGTCTTTGTTTATACATTCAGCGTGTAAGGAAATTCTTTTTTTTAAAATGTTTTTTTTAATTCTTTTCTTATTTATTCAGACGATAATGTCCTATCTATCCATCTTAAAAACGGCACCGTCTAAAGCCATATTCATAAATTATTCGATGATAAATATTCGAAGAAACGGGATTTTAAATTGCAAAGTGAAGAGATCGAGAAAAAGAATTGCGGAAAAAATTTAGATACAGTTGGAACGGAACAAAGAATCGTGACACTTAAGAAAGGACGGAGTGGGGATAAAAAGGGCGGGGCTCAGATAAGTTCGGACGCTATACACGTGGAGCGGGCAGTGAGTTGCTAATTGGGCAATTGTTTTAAAGGTGAGGATTTTTAGCGGAAACTGGTGCTAAATAATATTTTTACATAGATGTACCTATATGGCGTTCAGTATACAACATAAAATCGATCGATGCATGTCGAGCATTAAATTTAGATACACACCCTTAGTACTCGGCGAAGAAACATAGTTAACGTTCCATTATTCATATCCAGCAAGCACAAATATGCAATAATATCTCATGTATACGTATTATTACTGATAATGGAGCTTATTCTTTGTCTATCTCACTTTCTCTTTCTCTCCCACACACATTCTCCACATTTTCACACTTTCTTTCATTTTCAATTATAATTTAAACAAATTGATATTAATTTGATCGTTCGACATTTCCTTCTGCTCCATTCATTCTAGTTGCAGAAAACGAACGACGATAGATCTTATTATTGTTTTCTTATTGATCATTCTCACGATAATTCTCTCTCTCTCTCTC